CGCCAACTCCGCTTCATCTCCAAAACATTCTACTGTCAAAATGCCCCTTCGGTTTCACAACTTGCCCAACTCCCTTGCAAATTCATTCAAAGTGCTCCAAAATGATTTATTCAGGCTTATCTTAGCAGGCTCCCAATATAAATTTTGTGAAGGACCTACTGTGAAGAGGTTTTTATTTTGTCAGCTGGAGCAATTCCTAGTTGCTCGTATGATTTTGAAACTGCGCTAAATTCAAATACTTTACACTTCTTATTTCTATAGATTTAGTTGATGGTTAGTGATGCCAACTTGCATTTTATTTTGTGTCTATTCATAGCTGAAATATCAGCGGCAGATTCAAACAGCATAGAGCCTTTCTAAAAACTTCCATTACGATCACAGTGACTTACTTTAACATACCCTTGAACTTTTCGGGTTTGGAGAAATATCCGAAAATTCAAAGTTAGAGCTCTTTTGGTACGTACGCTTTCTTAGCTAGAAGAACTTTTGCGCTTAAGTTTGAAAAAATTCCAAAGCGATTTGTGTCACCACACTGTTACTCTTTTGAAGGATATTGTTTCTTATATTTTGTCTTCAACTATGTGAAAAATTCAGACAGTGCTGAAATGTCGACAAATGGAACCGTGCTTTTTATTATACGGTAAGAGGATGAATTTTCCAGAAACGGACAGGGATTTGTTGTGGCTTTTTTTCAATAAAAAACACTTATTGTTGGTATTACACAGACGAAATTTTGAAAACTGCAACTTTCTTGCTGAATTTCCAGCAATATCGTGCTCGAAAGGAAAATATTAGCTAGAAGCTCCCGAAAGCAAATTTGGTGCGGTACATTCAGTAGAAAACATTTACGCATTTGCTGAATGAGATTTTTTTCCTAAAAACGGTTTGGCGCAGCTTCTATAGGACCAAAAACTTCTGAACATTGGTGATAAGCTGGCAAAGACAACAACCTTTTCTGCTAGAAAATCTAATAGATTTTCTTAGACTTATGGTGCGTTTCAAAAGAAGTGCTTAGGAAAAAATCATGGGTGGAGACCATGCTCAAGAAGTCAAAAATTTTGAGAACTTTCAAAAAAAATTGGCAATGAACCACTTACGCAAGAATTGTAGCAAGTCACACACAAAATATTAGAGGAAGAGGCTAAAATTCCGAAATACGGATTTAGTGCAACTTCTCTATTATCAATCAGAAAAACAATCACTGTAGAATTGAACAAACATACGGTGCTTCTCTAAATAGAAAAACACATTGTCTGCTAAAAGAAACCTGAAGATCGCAGCTCTTTTGCTAAAACAATTGTCATGTATTTTTTGAACTTAAATGGCACAAAAGTATCAGATTTGAGGAAACAACGCTTGTGTACCTTCTGCATATGAAGATCCATATTTGGACTGAGTAGATTTCTAAGAACGCTACATGTACACGTGCATTTTATTGCAAACTACCCGCTCTGATTCTAGAAGTCGTAATTTTCTAGAGGCGATCTGATGTAAAGCAGTGATGAGAGTAATCGATGTTACTGCTCACAGCGTTTAGTGTCTACTGGTTGCATTTTTGGTTATGTTACTTGATCAATATCATCTAAGCCACGCATCACCACCATTATGAGTCATACGTTGTGCATAGGCGGCGCTCGGTCGGACCGTAACCGTAAACAGTCTGGAAGCGGGCGAGAGTGCAAAACTTAAGACAGAGATCTCTACAAACATCCGTTGCCCTGATGGGGGTGCTCGCGCTTTATTATAGAGTATGATGATTGTAGGAGGAAAGTCCCTGCGATCGTAGTTCAAGTTTTTCAAAAGAAATTTTTTTCCTTTTTAGAAAAAAAATCCAATTCTGAATTGGTGTTTTGTTACTTACAGTTTTCTAGCCAAGGGAGCTTTTCACATCCATTGTGGAAGTTTTAGAGCAATTTGCATTACCACGCTGTTTATTTAGGAAGACATCGTTTTTATAACTTAGTGGACAGCTATCTGGAAAGTTCAGACACTATTGCTATGTAAACTGGATAAAAGTGGAGATGATATGTTCACAAATGAAGCAAAATGTAAAGCAGTTGAAATAAATCGACCGCTAATAGCGTTGTAGGCGACGGAATTGGGGTTGTACTTAGCTTGAAGTCGTGATAAACATTACCGAAGCAGACGGAACACCGAAGATGGCACAAAACATCATACCATTGATGTCTCCATAGGTTGCACTTAGGTTGAGTCGTAACGGTAAACAGTATGGAAGCGGGCGAAAGTGCAAGAATTAACTCAGAGATCTGGGCAAACATTCTTCGCCGGTTGTTGACGTCGGATGGTCCCCCCTGCGCTTTATTATAGGGTATGATAATAAATATATATAATACCAACCTGTACCGCTACACATCAAGCTAGGGCCCGTACACCCCTAGACTTGACAGTTTTAGCTGTTTTTTTTTTCTGTGTAATGAGAATTACTACTGGGGCAAGAGCAAGAAAGTGCAATGGGTTCATTCCGAATCATTTCCCACAACTGCATGAGATTTATATAGAAAGGGAATCTAACAGTAAAATGCAAAATGGTTTAGGATACATAGCCATGATTTTATGAAAGAAGAGATCTTTCCAGAGAGGATTATAGATGAAGCCAAAATTTTCAAAATGCAATCATTAAATGAAAAAGAGAACCGCGAAATGATCGTGTGCCATGTAAAACCTCCCATGTGCAGCTGGTCTTTTTGACACAGGGCTGATATATCACTGAACGTGGTCCGCAATCATTTCATTCAACGTTTCCGACAGCCAACAACAGTTTTACACAGTTGATTTAACAATGACGAACTTTTCGTTCTACAGCCTTCAGACTCCTCTTTTTCCCGATTTCGCGTCGCTGCAGTGCTATTCTGGATGCTTCGTTCTTTTTTGGGATGGGGCCAGCAGGCCCAAAACTGACAAGTGGCAATTTATTGGATCGTTGCCGAAAGGTCAGGGTGAGGTGGGAGCAATCGTATGAAAAGTCCCTCTCTTCCTCCCCCCTTACACCCTATTCCCTCTTCCTACACTATAATGGACGCGGAGGTGCGAGACTTTACCTGGCCGGCTCTGGGTGTTCACACCTCGCACCTCGGAATTGCTCATCGTATGGAAACTCACTCACCCCGACTCATTGCTCAATATTGATCTGCACACATGTACTCATTTATAGAACTGCCTTGACCGATTATCCAAATAAGGGTATAGGACTTTGCATGACCGTGAAGGCCTGTATCTCTGCCGCGTTCTCAAAGGCAGCGTCCGGGCAAAATTCGAATGAGATTTTTTCGCTTACTTGAGCTTGTTCCTCCCGCTGATTCTGAAAATGCAGCTTGGAGGGCACGAAACGCCAAAAGCGGGCTTTTCCAGAAGCTCTTGATTTGAATTTTATCGCCTGCCGCCAAGGTTAAGACGCAGAATCTTTGTGGGACCCTACGTATTGAATCGTGTGCGGTATGCGCACTCTGGCTTATCGAACTAACTCGTCGGGGCGTTCCGGTCGTCACTTCGAAGCAATTTGGTACATTGCCAGTTGGGCAAGAGCTTTACCAGGACGGGCGCCCCTGTACTCTACATTTTTCATATCTGCCCGGACGCTGCCTTTAAAGGCAGCGCCCAGGCATATCGCACGCATGACGATTCTACGTGGAAAGTAATTTTGGGCTCTAACTAAGGCACTGCCCAAGCGGCAGCGCAGGTGACTCACTAACGACTAAGATATACGCCTCCAAACTAAACCTGATGTATGGCAGTTTCGCGCGCGGACCCACGCTTTGCGCCATGAATCCATGCGAAATACGATCCCGGGGTCCAGTTTCGAGGGAATATTTTACCCGTTAGAGTACTACCTGAGCTGCGGGTTGGGCAGTGGCTTAGTTAAGGCCCCGAAATTACTATCCACGTGAGATCCCCATGTGTCAGACTTGCCTGGACGCTGCCTTTAAGGCCCGTATGCACATACATCTCCGCCGGGGAGGGGATCTGAGAGGGAATGCGTCATATCTCGCTACTCTACGTACCTTTCTTCTTCTTTCTGGACCTTTCTTATAAAGTTTTTCATACACTTATACCTGCACATAATGGATGCCAGGTTACTCCCATACAAGATTGGTTTTTTGCCATTTTGTGTGATCCCCAGGGGATCCCCTAGGGAGCACCTCTCATTTTCAAAGTGATTTATCTTCCTGAGAAGTCCATGAAAACGCTGTAAAATTGTACTGAAGATATACTACGGCACTGGTAAGCATGTTTTCAACAGGAGAAATGGATTCTGAGGATTTTGAATTTTTCGAGATCTCTAGCTCGCCAGCTAGGGATTACCGAAGATTTCGACATCTTGAGATTTCACTTATTTCTACCATGAAAATCTTTAGCACAGCCGTAGTATATCCACAGCACAATTTCACAGCGTTTTATTGCGATTTCAGGAAGATAAATGGCATTGAAATTGAGAGGTGTTCCATTGGGGACCTAGAAATCCTTACACAAAATAGTTAAAATCTAATCCAGTAACCTGGCTCCATTGTGCCCCAGTATAAGGGTATGAGAACTTTTATAAGCAAGATAGAGGAGGAAGAAGAAAGATAACTAGAGTAGCGAGATATGACGCATCCCCTCTGAAAAGCCCCTCCCCTTCCCAGCGGGGATGTAATACGGGCCTAGGAAGGCTTTGGCCTACAAAAGGACTGACATATAAAATCTAAAGTATTGCGGTTCACCCAAATGAAATTCAGCGAATTGACGGATTTAAATATTTCATTGCGTTGTTGAATTCCACTCCCTGTTTGGAAGCGCAATCGCGCATTGCGCTGCAGCGTGGATATGCCTATGGGTCGCTGTTTTGGAGAAAAGATCAGCAGCAGAAAATGGGAGCACGCATTCTTGGACAACTTGCTTGATGTTGATGATATACTTCTGATTTGCAAGGGATTGGCTAAATCTTGTTTTTATGTATTTTTAATCACCAGTGATATCACCTTACTACAATATAAAAAGTACAAGTCTGCGGTAAATGACCTTAATCTATCCGATTCCATCTAGACTGCATTAATTTAGCGAAATAACACCACAGTCATTTGTACATACTGTACAATAGATCCATACTATCACAACGTTTAGTATTTTGGATGCACAACTTTGGCTTTCAGCTTCGGCAATGATGACAGATCGACAACCTTTGATGTGTCAATGATTTCGGCTAGATGTACCTGAAAAAAATAGCTCAACTTCATGAAATAAGAATCACAGTCATCAATTGAAAATATATCATAATTTCTGAGTTTTGGATTCTTACAGAAGATTCAACGCGAGCACGGACAGCAAGGACGTCATTGTGCTTGACAAAGATAAGTACAAAGATAGTTGGTAGAGGATGCGCAGACCGTAAGAGGGATGAAAGAGCTTGATCAATGAGACGCTGACAGCGCCGTAGTTACGCCCTGTCCTTGCGTGCGATGACTCGCCTATTCTTATTTTTCCTAGGTAAGGGATGATAAATATGCACTTTCAAAATTTTCACCGCTTATTTTCGTTTGATATTCTTCCTCAAAAAAAAAACCACTATCGTTTATTCGTTGACCGTAACGACTGCTGACCGCGCGGCGACCGCTGCGCGTGCATGATGTTTTCGTAGAAAAGATGAATAGAAAGAAAAGAGAGGATTCTTCTCATCTTTATAATGTAGAAAAGAAACAAAGAATTCTTCTCATCTTAAGCCACGGTCCAAGTCGTCACTTTTTCGCAAGTTTAGAAGGCACGCGTCGCAGTCGCCACGCGGTCGGCAGTCCGTACGGTCAACGAATGAACGATACCTCATCTCCTCTCCGTGTCGATACACAGTCACACCGGTCCTCATCGAAAATCTGGTGTTTCGGGCAGGAAACAGGCTCGCACACACAACTGCACTTTTCGTCGTCCCATTCTCGGTGACCTTGTAATTATTCAGTGAGATAGGTAATGCGTGGCCGGTAATGGTGAGTTTCGCGGAAAGCTTAGGTTATTAGACATAGGGGTTCTGAGCTATCAAATAAGGGATGGTGTGTTAGGAAAACTAAGATAATACTGTGATTGGCATAGACAATCATATTTTGATACTCATCTTATGGTTTGCTCCAGCAGACTTTTGCGTTTGCTAACTTTTTATGCCTATCTGTTGCAATGTGCGTTTGAAGAACTTTTTGCCCTTCTTTTTGTCAATTAACGAAAATTTGGCTTTATCTACAGTTGATCCTTCTTGACTACTGAGTCTAATCTGAATCCAAGCTCCTCATCATTCAGAGAACCGTTTGGCTTCTAGCATTGAGAAAATTGGCAGCAGAAAAAGGAAGCCCTTTTAGAGGGCACGAAGGTCGCAAAAAATCTGTGGAAAGGCAATTTTGCGCTGCCAAAGTGAAATAGTTGGTTGCGAAAGACGCAGACTTCAGCAAAAGTGGAAAGCGATAAAGCTGCACGTGGCACAGGTTTCCGCGAGCGCACTGTGGTTATCAGCCAGAGGTCCAGAACACTTAGAGGCAGACACAATACTATGCTGCCGTAGTCGGCTGCATAGTATCGTGTCAGCCAGCAGACGTCCTGGGCGACACGGCCGGAAGTTGCCAAACGTGCTTTGTCCTAATTTTCAGGGCACTACACAGGTGGCTTACTAAGCAAGCTGGATATCGTCTTTGGGAGAAAAAACAGAGGGATATCGTTTCTGCGGTCCGCGTGCCATCGGCACGCTGCCGGCATTTCTGCGGCATGCTCTCCCAAACAAACAAAGGGCTTGTTTACAGTGAAGTGAAAATGAAATGACACCAAAACTGGTGTATAGATGGACAATGAGGGGTTAGGACTATGTACGAAAAATTATGAAAAATATGTGAACTGGAGGCGTGCTCAACTTTTTCCGGAGTTGGGTGGCTTTCAAGCCACCTGGGAACCAGGCGGGGGGGGGGGGGGGGAAGGGAGCCGTGGTGTTCTCTCATCATTTTTCCTAGTCAAAGTTTATAATTTTCAATTCCTTGCCATCATTGGTTGCCTTTTTTCTGAAATGTGAACCGATGTGCTGCTGGATTGGCACACAATCATGTTTCTGACCAGCACCCTGTATTTTTTACATTTTTCCTTTTACCTTTCTTACATCACCCCGCCTGTTGAAATTACCATAGAAGATATGCATGCGAGAACATTTGTTTTGGAAAGAGTGAGACAATTTTTTAGCATTTGCGAATTTTCTAAAAGAAATATCCAAAACTTCTGTAGATCGATAGCAACGTCAACAAGGAAATTTTTTCAAAGCCATCTTGTCCTCTGCTTTCAGAGAATATACAGTATGCCTAGAGTCTGTTGAAAAAAGTGCCTGGTGAAGGGTGTGGGAGTGATTTCTGAATATTTACGAGTTTTTAGGATAAAAAATCCGTAACTTTTGCAGTTGAACAAATTGTACGCCGAGGTGGTCACCATTAGAACCGTCTCGTCCTCCGCTCTCAGAAAATATGTACTTTGCCTAGTGTCCGTTAAAAAAGTGCATAGTGAAGGGTGGGTGAGACTCTTATAATGGGGATTCTCAGGTAGACGTCTTTTTACAATGGTAAAAAAGCCTCCACCTGAGAATATTATAAGAATCTCACCCACCCTTCACCAGGCACTTTTTTCAACGGACCCCAGGCAAGGTATATATTTTCTGAAAGCGGAGGACGAGACGGTTCTAATGGTGGCCACCTCTGTGTACAATTTGTTCATCTACAGAAGTTACGGATTTTTTTCCCTAAAAACTCGTAAATATCCAGGGCACTTTTTTGGACGGACCTCAGACATTTCATATACTACTTTCTGAAAGCGGAGGATGAAACGGTTTCGATGATGACTATTTCCTTGCACAAGTTGTTCATCTACAAAAGTTAAGAATTTTTTTATGTTAAAACGTCAAAAATCTCCAGAAATCACTTAGTCACTTACTCACTTACCCAGGCACTTTTTTGGACGGATCTCAGACATGCTATGTATTTTCTGAAAAATGAGGAAGAGGCTGTTTTGATGGTCACTATTTCCTTGTACCAGCTATTTATCTAGAAAAATGATTTTTTTCAATGTTGAAAACTCGTAAGTGTCCAGAAATCACTAGGCACACCTTTCGCTTGGTACTTCTATGAACGGACTCTAGGCAAACCATTTGTTCCCTAAAACCAGAGGGGGACGTTGTACCACGAAACTTTTCTTGCTGAGGCTGCTGTGCAGCTACAGAAGCGACTATTTTTTTCCTCCTGGAAGTTCGTAAATGCCTAATCTCCTTCCTCCTTTCCGATACGCAACAATTCCGTACAAACAGCTGCTTCGCTTAGCCTTACTTCAGTGTTGATTTTTTTCTCGGTTTTTGGTGAAGGGGGTCACCTTGGTCCCGGTTCAGGGGTCGAAGGGGGATGAGCAAATTCTCATACTATCGCACCTATGCTTGGAAACCATATGAGGTCTTGGGAAAGGTAAAGTCATAAAATTTCCATCCCTCACATAATTTTCTTATTTCCTCTATGTAAATCTCATTTAGATCCCAACCCTACTTGGTAAACCGCTTCAAACCCTCTCTTCCCAGTTTAGTTACAGCCCCCTGAAAATTCTGAATGGCGGCGGCAACGCTGCTGCGGGCGCGATTTTAATGCTTCCTTTTTTGTTTTGCTTTGTTCCATTCCTTTCATTTGTTTTCTTTTCCAAAATCTCATGGCGGATGTCGTACTTTCCTAGTGAAATTAAAACAGACTTCTTTTTTTTGCAACTTCGGGAAGCCACCTCGTGCCAAGCCCTGCTAATTTTACTACTTAGGATAGAAACCGAATGTATAATTTAACCAGACGATGGCTTTTGTTTGATTAGGTATAGGGCACTCGAAAAATCGTGACGACGGCGCGACCGCGCGCGATAAGCACGCACTTCCAGTTTCCCTACATACGATACTATTCAGGCACTGGAAGTAACTGAGTCGACCGTTGAGGTTATGCCTGTTTGCATGGGTGTATGCCCTTGTGCGCGCAAAGACCGCAATCATACCTGCCGTCACGATTCTAAAAGTGACCTATATAGCATTGCAATGCTTCCTTGAAAGCTGTTTTTACGAACGCAGTCAAGTAGTGAATTTATTTTTGAGACCTGCTGGACCTAAATTTCTTGCAATTGCAGTTTAGCAAATACATTTCCACTTATAGTCCGTGTTAATCATGTGTTCCCTTTTCCATCAGCCAAAACGCAGCCCCAGAGCCTCGCGTCGCGTTCGCGCGCCTATAGCTGCACATTCAAAACTCGCCTCATCGATCGGCACCGCCGTGCTAGGCCCTTGCGGTGCGGACGCGAGCTGCTGCAGAAAAGGGAGCACATCGTTGACATCGATTGTACCAACACGAGCTTTTTATAACATTCATTTGAACAAAATATCACGTTAGTCAACAAAACTAAGTATTAGAAACAAACGAATAATTAGCACATACTCGGTTGACTACTTCAAAATGCCGGGGTGGAGGACTATATGTCGCCGGATTTGGAAGACTCCCGCGCGGATTCCCTGCAGGAACGCATGTCCGCGCATGTACAAGGGTGCGTATTTGTCGCAAATGACCGCGGGGACCGCCCTTTTTCGGCGACATATAGTCCTCTACCCAAAATGCCGACATCACGGCCACGCACACCGACGCTTGTAGGAAAAATCGATATGATGAAGTGTGACACAGTGCTCGCGCGTTACGACTCGGAGGCGTTGGTGCGGCGTCGCCATTGTCGGAGGATTTGCCTGCTCAAACCTCTATGTCTATTTCCATAGAATCGTTGTCTGAAGGCTTTACGTAAATCACGTAAATCATGCATAGTTAGTCTATTACGTGGTAATTCTTTCTCTACTTCACAGCACTCAGCACCTTGGCAATTATTCCGTTCACTTTTGTTGGCACATTGACATTTGCAATCTGAGCCGATAACGGATCCTGGTGGACATTCGGGCACCTGAAAGAAAAAGCTCAGCCTTTACAGTGCTGTTGAAAATTTTGTCGAAATTACACACATTGGATCCACAGTCGTAACAAGAACATGATGTGTGTTCTTCCATGGTGATGTTAATTGTCTGATTAAGCATAAAACGTCCATTTCCTACATACAAAAGTTGTATGACCTAAATCTGCAATTTTACAGAATTTTGACTAGAACAGACCGTCTAAAATCATACTCAAAGGCTCACTGGCTTTTCAAGTTTTCGATTGCTGTGTGGATGACAAGTCTCGAAAGAGTCGCAGCAGGATCCGACGCACTGCATGACCTGAAAATGGTTAGCCTTTGAGATCAAAGGCTAATGCGCCTACGCAGAAGCCGCGGACGAGGCCAACTGCAAGAAAAAAGTTGTTGCAATCTCGTAGTTGAAAAAAGGAAAAAAAGGACTTGAGAGGAGAGAGGGGTAGAAAAGAAGTTAAAGAAATGTACACAGCATCAGTCACAAAGTTCTTTTGAAGTTTTATGCCTGTCACGGCTCAGCTGCGAGCAGCTCCTCGGAGCAGGAGCCGGGAGAGCTGTATGCCACGTTACCTGTCGCGCCTTTTGTAGCCGCTACGGGACCACTCCGTCTAGGAACGCTGCCAAGGTACGGTATTTAGGGCTGCGTACAGTGCAGCCCTCACCTCTTTGATCTTCGTTTTCGTTATTGGCTGCTATTTTCTTATCGTATTTGGTCCCGTTTTCAGCTCGTACTAAGGAGGATTTTACTTTGAGCGCTGATTTGGGAATTTTGGAGATCTCGCCTGCTGTGGCGAGAAAGGTCTTAGGTTCGTTTTAAGCTGAGGATGAACAACGATGCGGGAGTGGAGCTCATACAATACCGCTCACATTTTTTGAAAAAGAGACGCGAATGTCGCATCATGTATGAACATCATCGTCGCGTGGCCATATCTCGCTTCAGAGTGGATGAATACTGCATCTAAAGCCACCATTCTCAAGTCAGCTCGACCAACCCGGATGGTCATATATTACCGTAACGGGCTTGATACGCGTATTTCAAATCTGCTTTTGCTTTCTGCGGAACAACTCTACAAAAGAAGTAGCGTTAGAAAGTCCAAATTTGTCAAGTGTTAGTGACGTAAAATTGGCGAAAGCTGTACAATATCATGTAAAAGTGGGTTTTTAGTTTTGTATCAAGTATACTGACCACAATGAAGGAAAACAGCCAGTGAAAGTCCGCTAGATTTTGTTTCAAAGCTTTTCGCAGATTTTATAAGCCACTTCAAACATGACAAATTCAATTTTCGAACCCCCATAACTTTTTTCGTAGAGTCGTTCCGCAGAAAAGGAAAGCAGATTTGGAATCAGCATTTCAAGCCCGTTACGGTGATATATGATCAGGGTCAAAGCAAGGGGTGTGGCACACGATCGCTGGTTACGATCCCCCCCCTGATTGCTGTCTTAATAAGACCCCCCTGAACTATACACTTAAGATAGCATTACTTGAAGGCCCTGTCAAACATATTGGGCAACATATCCATAATTAGCATGTCAATTAACCCCTTTAGACAAAGTTTGAGCGAATTCTGAAGATTTAAAGGCAGTGTTTAAGCAAAAAGTCGATTTCGAGATTATGTGCTTACCTGGGCCTATTCGCTATGCTGAATTCGAAAATCACCACTGGAGTGCGCGAAAACGGCGAAAAAAGGCTCCAACGGAGGAGGAAAATTGCAGGTGGGCGGGGCTGTTCACGTAGCGGCGTCACTCTCCCAGCTGCAAGGGCGATCTTCTCGCTTCCGCTAGTCACCCTAACATCACCACCAACCAACTGCGAAACGCATGACATAAAAATGGAACCGAGAAGATCGCTCCCAAAGCCTGGGAGAGTGACGTCACGGTGTGAACGGCCCCGCCCACCTGCGACTTCCCTCCTGCGTTAGGGCCTTTTTTGGCGTTTTCGCGCTCTCCATCGTGGTTTATCGGATTCAGCATGGCGAATAGGCCCGGACAACAACAAAATCTCAAACTCGACTTCTTGCTTGGACACTGCCTTTAAGATACTAGGCTCCTAATGGTCATATTCCAACATGGTTAACTTTGTTTCAAAGGTGAATTAGCTATCGGTTTTTGCACTCAAGACAAAGCACTACTCCTTCTTTGTCCACCTCAGAAATCCCGCTTCAGAAGACCTGCAAACTGTGGAATTAGAAGCCAACCAAAATCTCGTTTTTATCATTTTTCGCTTTTGATCGCTGTGCTTTCACCAAATATTACTTAGAGCTAAGAAGACAAATCAGGCTCTAAACAGTCCTATGGAATCTACAAGGTTTAGGCTATCGATTCATATAAAAACTGTCCGCTAAAATTGTTTTTTGATATAGTTAATGGGGTGCGGCACACCCCCTTAAAAGCTGCGGCGGCCGTGGTGCTGCTGCAGCTAGGTAAAAATTTTTATATGCGAATTCACAAAAGAGCTGGAGCAAAAGAGACGGTTTACGTTTATTCTACATGCTTCAAGCTTTCAAATATATGTTGATTGATGAGACGCAAAGCTATCCTAAATCAACGAGTCTCTGTTCGATGACTTTCGAAACCACAGCTGAGAAATTCATCACATTACCTCTGCACTTATTTTCTCTCTTTGCATATCCCAATCCCACTCGGCAGTCAAGCTTACATCAACATTCACCTCAAGGCTCGGTTACTCCTCTCACTTTTTAGGTCGGAAGTCGAAACTCCTTTTACCTGGAGGGGACCCTGCTCCCCCTGTCATACCTATGGTTGAGAAGAGTCACCGTTCCAGTTGTACCTGGGAGCGGCCGACCCTGATGGGAGAACCTAGACTCCTTTTGTATAGACTGATCTTGCATACACCGGCAGCATGGGACGCGGCGTCCGTTCTTATATCCTGGGACGTTGAACCTATAGGATTTTACGATTTGGTAGTATTGGTAGCATCTAATTTGCTAGCATCTCCTCAACTCAGTTCAGTCTTTTCAGTGCCTAAATACTAGCATATGTAAGCAGAAAAACCATTCGAGTGGGGATGAAGACCAAATTGCGATTGCTGGGAGTGCATGAGTGTGGCCCGCGGTCGCGCCATTGTCACGGTTTTTCGAATGTGTCGTATACTTTTGTAGGTTCAGCATATAAATTTGCGATTGCTGGGAGTGCATGAGTGCATACAAATTTGTATATTCTAGTCGCGCGGGTATATGGGTAGTGTAAGAGCACGAGCCAGCTAGGGGGTGCGCAGCCACCGAGTCGCCACAATGCCACTCATCATAAAAACGCTGGACTATTCCTAAAAACACTTTCAAGTTTATCCATGAATTGTTTTCAGTCTTTTGCTACTTGGGGCCGCATGCGCTAACATCCCCGCGGGGAAGGGATCGCAGCTTAAAAAGAGCTTTATATTTCGAAACTCCAGATACTTGGATTTCACGTTGTGTACCTATCCTTAAGTATTCCTACTACCCTTCACTATGAACATGTTGAACAGGAGCGAAAAGCTGTGCGAACCGCATTTTCCAGCTTTTGTATTATCCCTGATGATCCCCGGCGCTTTACTTTAAAGTGATTTTTCTTTCTCCGAAGTTAACGAAAAACCTCCAAAGCTGTGCAAATTACCTAACCCGACAGTGCTAAGCATGTTGCTGATAAGAACAAATGACGTTTTGAAGTCATGAAATTTTCGATGATCCACAGGTCGAAATTTGAGGTTTACCGAAAAATCCGACTTTTCACTGTTGTGTTAGATGTTCACAACTTTGGAAGGTTTTCGTTAACTTCGGAGAAAGAAAAATGACTTCAAAGAAAAGCGCCGGGGATCGTCAGGGATCATACAAAAGCTGGAAAATGCGGTTCGTACAGCTTCTCGCTCCTGTTCAACATATTCATAGTGAAGGGTAGTAGGAATTCTTACGGAAAGGTCTACAGCTGAAAAAATGTTATTTGGATGTCTATGTGGAATTACAGTGTTCGATTTCATTCGCTTTCTAATTTGTTGCTTAATTCTTTGAAACGCATTACAAAACGCCAGTTTTGTAACAATAAAAAACAGTTGTATAAATTGACCATTTTTCGGAATATTTTCGGAAGAAATTTTTGCATATCTAGTGGTGCAGGATTTAATTTCAGTCTAATAGTTGTTCCTCTTCATGATCTAGGAAGCACAGCTTACTTCATAGCATTTCGGATAGATGACGACTTGTGGATCTCCATTGTCAAGTGGAATGGGAACGCAAACGGACTGCAGCTGGCATGTGTCATTACCTTGCTTTATGGATCCGAAGAGACTCAGGTGTTCGGCGGTGCTCACTATAAAAACAAAATTGCGGTGGATGATTTTCATGTTCTTGTTATACAGGAAGGCACGACAGTTGGGGTGAAACTTCAGTCCAATATAACATGTAGCATGATTTACAACGTTACAAATGGTGGTTTCCATAAGTTTTTTGAAAATCTAGATTGTCTGCTGCTAGATTGGCAATCTAGCAGCAGACAATTTAGATTTTCAAAAAATTTATCTGCGTCACAGCAAACTATGGTAATACTCATTGACTTGACATTGTTGAAGCAGGATAGGAAAACGAAAAGTAAGGCAAAAGTGAGGAGAGAATTCTCAAGTTTACTCACAATCCATTGTATTACTGGTTGTCGGAGCTTCCTCTACAGCCAGTGTTCGTAGTCGTGAAGCTGATGCTTTGATAAAGTTCGCTGCCTGGATCCTCATCGGTTTACGAGCTGAAAATTTATTGTTTGAGAACAGTGAGTTGATTAAATACAGATCGGTACTTTTCCGTCATCCATACCCATTTTTTCAAAAGAAGGATATTGCTTCTTTCTTTTTACCGAATTTTGTGAAAACTTCGCAGAGGGTGTAGGACGATTCGCACGACCGGAATGCTTTCCACACAGGATCATCGCCGCGCGCGACACACCCTGCGGCGGCTTTTGCCTAAGCAAAACAGGGGGAGGAAAGGTTTGCGGCGTGCATTACATGTTAGGACAAGTCAAAATCAGGGAGACGCTGGAGACCGCCCGTGCGAAAAGACCGTCTCCCCTTCGCAGATGGACAATCTACCTTCTGCCACGTGTCAAAGAAAAAAAATTAACATGTATCTACATGTTTAACAGGTTACAAGAGTTTAGCTTTGTTTTAGTTTAGTTTGTTTAGCTTACCTACTCATGTAGGTTCAGTCTAATTTTTATTCAATAAAGACCCTATTTTTGGTCAACAGTTTCATGAACGAGCTTTAACGTGAGGAAAATGACACTGTGTGTTCATCACATTGGATTCAAAGAGATGTGAGCTAATGTGCTTTCAAACGATGAAACAGCCAGGTACATACTTCAAACTATCATTTTTTTTGATTTTTTTAATGAATTCGCATGGTGGAAAGAATATGAAGAACGATCTCTTTGACACGTTGTCGATCCTTTATATACGCGAGTATGCATGTCCTGGCTGCCGGCCGCCCAGCACATTCTTCCTGCATCGATTTCGCATGTGTAAACGAGAAGTTTCTAGCTAACTTCTTTGGGTATTGATGCTGATGGTCTGTCATATAGCACACAGGCATCGCGGTAGCTGTTCAGGAGTCTAAACCGTAGCTCTAAATAACATTTTGATGTGGTCTAAAATGGCTCGGCCATCGACATGTTTTATCACTTGAAAGCTACCAAGGTGTTTTGATAAACGTTTGAAACTGTTTTGCTTTTATAAAAGACCCGTAAGCAGATTCCGAGTCATTCCCAGTGTACTTCACCGGATGAGATTGAAAAAGCACGTTAAACCTACCCCCAACGTGTTAACTTTTATCTTGGCACATGACAAAGAGAAGTCTTCACAAGATCAATGAGAAAAAGATTTCCCGACTGAAGCACGTCCCCAAAGAACATTTTAAAAGATGGGTTTAGATAACGGAAGAGTTGTGGTTTTCAGGTAAATGTTGAAGGAACAAATAGTGCGAAGTATTCCTCAGACTATTGTTGGAAGATGAGTTTACTGCTCACGTCCTGGTGTTGCGTAAGTTTTTTCAGTATGTTGATTCGTATAGACTGGATGATAGATAATTTCAACATTTTCGACGAATTCCTAAAAAAACATGAGTTATCACTCAGAACGGTCGTGGGTTAAAAAAATGAAGGAAAAATTATTCATAATTGAGATATGTTTGAAATACCAAAAATGATGATGCCTTCCGCAGTTTATCTCGCAACTCCTTGGGAACCGATTCTGAGTGAGCATAGGCTGCTAAGAATGTTAGGAAGTACAGAAGAATACCCATGGTCAACTAAAAAGAACAATTTTTGTTTCGTGAGTTAACGACAGGAGTGTGAGATGCTCTCAAAATAATTTCGGATGTTTGAGTCATCATGTTATGGTAAAATTACCATAGTACCCGAAAGAATGAGATCTATTGCTTTTTTCTTCGAGATTTTTGAGAAAGGGTTAGTTATTGCTGGGTTAGTTTGCCATGTTCAATGAAATGTGCTGAGTGACGAGAAAGCTATGAATGCAGACGGCCCTGCAAGCAAAGTGCACTTCGCCGGAATGATGTGGTAATATCAAGCAAAGATTAGTTTTGTTTCTGGATATCATATGACGGACATGCGATAGGGAGGAACGAGAATCAATCGTAAACTGATTCACACGAACAGCTGCCAGCGGTGAGGCTACGAAGAAACATTTTAAGAACAATTTGAGACCTGAACAAGTACACCTTGAATCATAAGCAATTTTCGGATACTTCAGACGTACCTGAGATGATACAAGTTCAGGAAATGCGAAAATTGCGTCAGAAGGACTTTCTGTTGCTATCTAGGTCGATGTTAAGAGATATTTGTTCATTTATTTTTTCCATGCGCTCTAAGGTGCGTCACGAAAGCTGCGGTAGAATATAAACTATAGACGAAACTTCGAAATACAGAAATGAAAAGAAAACAAAAATCGTAAGAAACTTTGTTCTTCATTTGGTTTTACTGAAGCAGCAACTATAATTTGCCGAAATAGACAACACTATTGTATATCGTGGGAGTTTGGGTTAGATAGTGATAAGATGATAGAGGATAATGAACGATCTTGCATGAAAGAAAAAGATAAAATGGGTATAGAAAATAGAAGATGAGAATATCACATGAAATAACTTTTGCTTCATTTTGAAGAAGCAACACTGATATCGTCTTTCAATTAAGATAATTGAAAGATATACAGTGTAGTTTGTCAGTGTCTTTAACTCTGGAGACAGTTTTGCTGCACCCGGAATAATAGCATGTGCCGAGAGTGGAGTAGATTTTCTTCAATATTTTTTGAATCATTTGAAGTGTGTCGTATTCTAACAAGGGAGGATCACAAAGTCGAAGTGGCCCTTTAGTATAAACTGCATATCCCTAGTGAGAGCTTGGAACGCTGGTTCCAAATCTGCTTCTTGTAGCTGCAGAGCGCCTTTGTGAAACAAGTTATGAGCATTTTCGGGGGCCAAAAAATGAGCTAATGGCCGAGATAAAATCATTTGTTATAGCCTTTTTAGACGTAAAATAAAGAAGAAAAAGTACTGGCATACGAGGCAGAAAGAGTTTATTGTTCGAAATATCCTAACACTTGCCGCTGCTTTATAGGGTCTAGAGAGGCTGTAGCGTTGATTTTATCCCTGCCGTTAGTTCATTTTTCGGTTTTAAAAAATGCTCATAACTCTTTTCCCAAAGGCGCTCTGCAGATATGGAAAGCAGAATTGAAACCAGCGTTTTAAGCTCTTACTAATGATGTCCAGTTTTTAATGATCAGCACCTTCGACTTCGTGACCCTCCCTTGTAAGACATCTCAAAAGCTTCGCCACTGAAACTTATGATGGCATACCTCTCGTTATATAAAGAACTAGCTGGCTTACCCGGCTCCGCCGTATCCGGACCAAACTTGGCACACATACACTTCGGGCCCCGGCGGGTGTCACAGTCCACTTTTCGTTATCGATTTTACCGATTTTTATCGATTTTTTTGCAGAGTTCACCTACAAGGCTAGGAGTTGGCACAGGGGGGAAGTGAGCATGGGGATTCCGAATACAATATTAGTTTTCAGAATTACCGATTACTTTTATTGATTTTATCGATTTTTTGTAAATTTTGACCTGCGGGGCTGGGAGTTTGCACAGGGGGGTAATCGAGCATGCTGATTACGAACACAATGTTAGTTTTCAGGATCGTCCATTACTTTTATCGATTTTATCGATTTTTTTGTAAAGTTTGACCTGCGGGGCTGGGAGTTTGCACAGGGGGGTAATCGAGCATGCAGATTACGAATACAATATTAGTTTTCAAGATCGTCTATTACTTTTATCGATTCTATCGATTTTTTTGCAAAGTTTGAGCTACGGGGCTGGGATTTGGCACAGGGGGGTAATCGAGCATGCTGATCAGCATGCTCGATTACCCCCTGTGCCAAATCCCAGCCCCGTAGCTCAAACTTTGCAAAAAAAAATCGATAAAATCGATAAAAGTAATCGATAATCCCGAAAACCAATATTGTATTCGGAATCCCCATGCTCGATTACCCCCCTGTGCGAACTCCCAGCCCCGTAGCTCAAACTTTGCAAAAAATCGATAAAACCGATAAAAGTAATGGACGGTCCTGAAAACCAATATTGTATTCGGAATCCCCATGCTCGATTACCCCCCTGTGCCAACTCCCAGCCCCGTAGGTGAACTCAGCAAAAAAATCGATAAAAATCAATAAAATCGATATTGATCGATGACGAAAAGTAGCCTATGACACCCGCCGGGGCCCGTAGTGTATGTGTGCCAAGTTTGGTCCGGATCGGTTTAGAAATGGAATTTTCTATTCGGAACATACGTGCACACAGACATACAGACATACAGACATACAGACATACAGACAGACAAACAGACATTCAGCTTTATATATAAGATGCGCCTCATCGCTGGCTACTCCTCTGACGCACATATTCAATATAGCCATGCTATTAGGTGAGGTGCCTTACTTTGGAAGCCCTTGTGAAAGCTTTTCCAGAGGGGTCCAGGGTGCCAAGTTGGTGAGAGAAATTCGACCTATCAGTCAATCATGTTTTTTCGGTTTCTGCTGTGACATTTTTAGGCTTTTTTGATTATGCTCAGAGATTCCAAAACTGAAGTAATTCTCTTTGATTGCTTCTAACTCTCTATCTTTTTCGTTTTGATTCATGGAAAAGGTTTAGGAAAGAGCAAAATTTTCTCTATCGGATAAAAATACTTTCAAAATTTTTTGCGACCCTGCTTGAACATGCTAATTTTGAGTAATTTCGTACATTGCATCCATCTCTCGAACTTTCTCATGCCTTCATAGTAAAGGCACTGCTGTAAAGAGAACGGTTTCCTCTTTCAGCTGGATAGAAAAGAGAAGAAATTTATCAAGAAAGAAAGTCATGATTTTTGAAAAAATGGCGAGCGAACTTTTGCACCCACCTAATATTAGGTCGTTCCGAAAGTTCTTTTCGTTTTTTCAATCACAAAAACTCATGGAATAAAGAATGGCAAAGTCTCAAAAACTATCGACGCAGCTTTTCTTCCTCTTTGTAACTGTCATGTTCCTAAGCCGCTTGCTCTTGTGGACACTGAGATAATCGCCGAAATTTCGGATCCATGTTTTTTACCATGTCCAACTTGGCAATTTTTTACAATCTTCTTTTTCGACTTTTAGAAGAGCTTTGATAGCAGTCAGATGGAGTAATCAAAGTGCAATGTAATGCAATTTTCTGCATCTATAGCCTGCCTCAAAAATTTTTTAGAATGATTTTTCTTATGCTATCAAATTCCGCTTTTGGTGATGCCAAGAGCCTTAGAACATAAAACGGCACACAACTAAGGTGTCATTCGATGCAGTTTTTCTCCTCTTTCTGATGAGTGTTTTTTTTTTCAATTCGCAGGGTTCTTAGCGATAAGACTTCCATAGTTCTTGATTTTGATTACCGGCTTTGCTTCGCACCTCAAAAAATAAAGATACAAATGTATCCTCGAGTCTTGTAACTTAATTGGAGTGTGCACACTATGCCGGCAAACGTAATTCTTCATTACCTTTTCTAGTGTAACAAACTATAGTTATGTGCTGCGCTAACTAATACGTAACCATCGAATCAAAAGAGACAAGAAAGCAAGGAGAACTTACTGGAAATGAGTAGATCCTAATCTTAGTTCGTCAAGTAAGGCGCATCATGTGCATCACACATATTAAGTTACAAATGACTCGAGGATATGCGGATGACATAAATGTTCATGGCTTTTATGGCGCAGAGGACCGTTGATGTGCAGTCAGCTTTAAAACTATCTCTCGCTAAATTAGCGAGTTGGGCTTCGTCTTGGAATTTGACGTTGAATCTCGATTAAAGAGTTGCGTACTGCACAAGTAATGGTTGCGCTGGTACTTCTGTGGTAGACAGTCGTGCTGCGATCATGCGGCTCAGCTAGGGACTTAGGAGTATAGTCGATGCCAGACTTAATTTTAGTGAACATATCGATGCTGCTGTTAGAAGAAAAGCGTAAACCTCCTTATTTGTACTTATTCGCATAGTAAGGAGTAGCCGCCTATTCTGATGACGCGTCTTTACAAAGTATTGTTCTTGTTCGTTCTCATCTCGAGTACATTTGGCCAAGTTTGGAATCCTGGACGAAAAAAAGAGATCAGCAAACTGAAAAAGTGCAAAAAACTTTCTTGTATAAGCGGTGCCATTCTGACAGGAAACTCCCAGGTTACAGTCTCGCCTAAAGATGTTCAACCTGCAAAGCCTTTCACATCGTCGTAAAATCTCAGATTTATTGTTTTGTTTTTATGTTCTGAGAGGTGAAAATAGACTGAAGGCAAGTAAATATTGGATCTTCATGCCTGCTAGTGGAAAGTTGGGAGGATTCAACCTGCACTACCCAAAAATATAAAAGCACAATTTTTCGAAAATGTGTAGCATATTCTGCAGATCTGCCTGGTTTTAGCAGTTGACTATGGAAGTTGTGTTTGCTGAACGCAAGCTCCTTCAGGGCTAAGTTGATGAGAGCTGATACTCAGCTTCACCTTCAAATTTTTAGAATAAGTTTCATTATGTTTCCTTTGTTTCTTTTTTTATCTACTATATTGCTATCGGACAGACAAAAACTGAATATGATTGATATCAACTACTTTTCAGTCTTTGGGCTAATTCAGAATGACCACCGGACTCTTTGTGCTGATCATTGATTATGGCAGAAACTTGACTACTGCAAAACATCATACTTGATCGACTTGCAACACTCCACTTTTGAATGCAATTGGTATCAAA